CTCTGATGGACCAACCTTTCTTGACTGAAATAGCCCCTACGGAGATCTCTGCTAAGTTGGTGTAAGTATTTAGGCAATTTTTGTAATGAATAGATCAAGGCTTTTGACCTCTATTTTGAGATAGGACTTTCAACACCCGGGTGCCACTACACACTCTATAAACAGCAAATTCAAACAATTTTTTTTTAAATCTGAAACTTTGGGACATCAAACATGATCAAAGTTCAATGTTCTTGCTAAGTTTCAACTACAAATAACATTCGAGGAGCCCTAACCTAAAAAAACAAAATCACTGTTCAAAGTTTATGTGCACTTTTGAGCAGTGGTATTTTTTTGTCAAGGATCCACGAATGTTACTTGTGGCCGAAATTTTGCAAGAACATCAAATCTTTGATCACTGAAAAATTCTGTTTTTTTTACGAATTTACTGTTCATAAAGGTGTAAGGGCACCTTGGAGCTGTTACACCTTTCTCCTGTTTTGAAAGGAAAATAGCAGTAATTGTCTTTCTGGCATCGTACTCGGCGTACGACAGGTATATGCTGCAGGGGATGTGGCTGCAGTTACAGGAAGCACGCCGACCGAGAGACCGACACCGTAGCTCGTCGTGCTCGTTCAATCGCCGCAACTTCCACTACCTGGTGGGCGAGCCGATCGATGCGCGTGCAATTTGAGCACTGGGCCGTCACGCCATGGACGAACCTCGTCTTTGCCGGCCACGTGCACGCGTAGGAGCGCAGCCAGCCACCGGTGCTACAGCACGGGGCTCGCCGACAGCATGACGAAGCCGCAGCCGAGCTACTCGGCGTCCCCGATTTGCTTCGAGTCTTGAAATAGGCCAAAATGTTTCGAAAGTTCTGCTTCGAGTCAGCCATCCTCGGGGAACAGACCACCACTTGAAGTTGAATCCTGTCCTGACCTGGCCAACATTCTGAATTTTCTGCAAAGTTGCATACACCGCCTGAAGAGAGCTTACAACGGCCCTCTGCTTTTCTGATGGCTTCCCCTGATTTTGCATAGAGAGCCAGAATGGTCATGTACGTATATCGATAGTTAACTCAGTGACTCGTGGAAGGCGCTAGCTACTACTACTAGCATCCAGTAATCAGTACTCTGATCGTTACTCGTCACTCGACAGCTCGATCGACATTCTATCCCATCCTCGTTAGTGAAGAGCTGTGCAGGAGATCCTTCCTTGTAAGTTGGAACGAGGCAAGTGCAGAGACATCAGTGTGCAGTAATCAGTAGGCAGGTGACAGCTTGTTAGCTTTAAAAGAAGCGGAAGATACAAAACAGAAACTAGGATTGGAAAATAATCAGAGTCAAATCACATTCAGGCTTTTCAAATACCAGTTTCTAAGGTTGTCCGTGCAAATCACTATAGCTAGCAGTAACAAACTAACCGTTTTGTCAGCCATTTCTCAAACCAAATAATCCCTCAATAATCACGTGGTTTTCTGGATATACAGCAACATGTAGAAAGCAAAAATGAATGGTTGAGGATTCATATCCTCTCACAGAGCAACCGAGATATTTATGTAACAACACTCGAGAAATTAAACACCAGAGAAATGAATGATAAAGAGTACAACATATACCAGAGGAAATGATGAAAGTTACAGTAGAGGTCGTCAAGAGACAGACTGCTGAGTGCACGTGGTCCCTTCATGCTTCACTCATCTGGTGTGACAGTTGATATCCAAGGAAGGAGTGTTTGGGTGCACTTGCATGGCGTTACTTTCTTTTTTTTTTTTTTTGGAACAGGAGATGAGCCCCGAAGGACCCAGACACATTCCATTCATGTTTGCATTTCAGTACAAATCGAGCCACCACATGAGCTTATTAAACGAGCAAAGACCAGATCCGTCCCAAACCACGACCGTCCTCCATGGACAATCAGCTTGGGGTGCAGCCGGCGGCCACCGGACGCTGCTCACAGGCGCCGGTGGATGGCTCAAAAACGGCAGTACGCCAAACGCCACAGGGGCAAGACACATCCTGCACCTAGATCTACTTCTGCTATATACAGATGAAGGGATCCAACCACCTATTCCATCTACTCACCGGGCGTACCCATTGGAGTGAAAGAAGGAAAGGGGCGGAGACGGAGGAGCGAAGACGAAAAGATGGGGTAAACGCAGACCCGACTTCGAGCTCCACTTGTTCAAGAGGCTTACCGAGTAGAGTTACACTGATTTGCTGGAGGCCTGAGAGGTGCTCCATGCCGGCTGGTGCAGCTCCACCCCACTGCGGCACTCTGAGTTCCAGACTGAGCTCTCGTAGCTTGGACATAGCTCCTGCCTCGAAACCCAGATATGTTGTAACATCTTCTTCAGAGAGGAATGTAAGGCGCTCCAGAACAGGGAATAATCCCTTGCTGACGATTACAGCCTCTTCTTTAGGGCATGTCGCAACTATAAGGTAGAGGTAGACGAGGGATGGCAGTCCTCCAAGAATAGTAATCCCATCATTTTTCGTCTCCCTAACAGATAATTCCAGGCTATGCAGGCAATTGAGATCACCAATCCATTTAGGAACTCCCAAGATCTTCCAACCGCTAAGGTACATTTCCTCGATAAGGGCAGGAGGATCAGAAACTGAGCCTAAAATTTCGTCCTTATCATCATGATCGCCTACCACCAGGAGATATCTAAGGTTGCGTAGCTTACAAATAGAAGAGACCAAAGCATCAAACTTCACTGCCTTCTCCAGCAGATTGCACTCATCATCACCAAGGTTACAAAGCTTCAGACTCCTCAGATTAGTCAGCTTACCAAGGCCCTCAAGGGCCTCCAGCGAACTCATCTCCAGTCCGAAACCATGGAGTGTGTGAAGTGATTCCATGTTCCCGATCCTTTCAGGTAACGCTATCATCGCATACCAACCCAATTTCAGATTAGACAAGCAGGGCAAGTGCTCTATGTCTGATGGGATGCTTCCATATCCTACAGCCAGCGTATCCAAATGCACAAGCCCCCGAATTTCAGTGGGAAGCTTTGCACACCAATGCTCTGAAACCTTTAAATACCTCAGTTGAAACAATTGGCTGATAGCAGTGAGGTCCAAATGTGAATCCCCAAATGAATTTGGACATTCAAAGGATAACACACGGATATACTTTAACTGAGAAAGACGAGGTATGGACTTGCAATCTCCGAACCACACCAATGACCGAACTTGTGATATGCTATCTGAAGCTCTCCATGATATTGTTTTCTTTGTTATCCTATCAACCTGTGAGACCAGGGATAACCGACGGATCTTGTATGTGCAACCATGCAGTCTTGTCATGTCTTCAGAACTATATGCCAGACTATTAAAATTGTCTTCTGCACACTTGCTTAAGATCAAATCCAGCATCATATCATGTACTCTGTAACATACTTGCCCGATTCTGTCCCTTGCAGGCTGAATCAGACTTCTATTGACTAGCTCATTGAAATAACTTATCCCAACATCCTCCAAATTTGTTCCATGTGAATTACTAACAAAGCCTTCGGCTATCCATTTTCGGACTAGATCATCCCTCATAATCTCATAGTCTTCTGGATACATACCAAGGTAAAGGAAACAAGTGCGGAGATGAAGAGGAAGATTCATATAGCTGAGGTTTAATATATTCCTCATCCCTTTCAGAGTGGGGTTTATGGCAAACTGGGAACCTAGAGAATTCCGTATGTTCTCCCAATCATTCTTTGATCTTTCACGACGGGAAGCCAATAGGCTAGCTATAGTAATGATTGCAAGTGGCAATCCGCCACACTTCTTCAGAATTTCATTTGAAACTTCCTCAAAATTAGATGGACACTTGTTTTCAGACCCAAATACTCTGCTCGTGAATAACCTTCTCGAATCTTCAAAGCTGAGGGGCTTCATTTTGTAGATGTGCTCATAGTGATAAGAACATGTTGAGATTGCAACGTCTTCCACTCTTGTGGTTACTATTACTCTACTCCCGTTACCATTTTCTGGAAAGGCACATCTTATAATGTCCCATGCTTCTTCATTCCACAAGTCATCGACTATAATAAAATACCTGTTGAATATGGTGTTATAAATTGCATTAGGAGGCAAGTAAAAATATTGCAGGTTAAAGCATCGATAAAATCAAATAATCTTGGGAAAAACACGCCGCACAAATGACATTCTTATGGATAAGTTAGACATATTTGTGTGACATTCAAGCCAAAATAACAGCAACAGCTTGCGTGGCGTGTTAAAATTTGGCTTTCAAAATAGCAGGTTTTACATTTTTTTTCCGTCAAAACAGATCATTGCCAATTTTCCATAACAAGTTGTTTTGCTGCTGTATGATGACACATTCAGTACTGAGAACGGTCAACATGGTATACATTGTATTTCTTTATTTGCTATCACAGGCATATTTCTAATTTAACACCGCATGAAAATGCTACTTGGACTGTAGGTCTAATATAAACGTTTGTTGATCCAGATATCAACTCCACATATTTGTCTAATGTTACATACAAGTGACCTACTTCATCACGTTGACAGCTTTATTTATACGGAATACTCCCTCCGACCGGAATTACTTGTCGAAGAAATGGATGTATCTAGACGTATTTTAGTTCTAGATACATCCATTGTTTCGACAGGTAAGTTGGAACAGAGGGAGTATTTACTAAGAACCTACAAGTTCAGTACAGTGGCAGGCGAGCAATCCACAATTCAGACTTTGATTTTGCAAAGCTATCTGATTCAGTAATGAACAAACCAATGATCATTTGGCAGTGCGAATTTATAATTCTGCACATGAATTAAGTATCATGTTCAAAAGGGCGGGGAACTCGCAGTCAAAAATTCCCTTCTGCGTTTTAATCTGATATCATTAAAATGGAATTGATGAATTCTGCAAACTGATCTAGTTTTATTTATAAAATGCCAACGAGCTAGTGTTCTAAACTTTAGTTCTGTATAAATGACCCATCAGTTGGCTCATGATCTTGGCGGGCAACTTGACTGTAAGGCCTTCTTGCACTTCTCCCCTGGTTTTTGTATGTAAGGTACATTTCGAATTCTCAAATTCTTTGATAGAGAATTAATCTAATATTATGTGAGTTATGTTACAACAAATTGATACTGTTGGATCAGTGTTAAAACACACTTTCCAATTCTTATGATTTTGTAATGATTAGTCTTCCGTTGTAAAAAAACACGACACGACTCGAGGTTTACATCTCGGCTTGTTTTATTATTCTCAACCTGAAATGGACTGGGACGCTTTATTTTGAACCCCTTAACAAAAAATGGACACCATCCGCACGTCGGACGTGCACGTGTACAGCCACCTGGATCCCATGGACACCACCTGGATCCCATGGACACCACCTGGACAAAAGGAGTGCATGTGTATGACCAGCTGGAAGTGGTCGCAAGAGTGACCAGCAGAGGCGCCCTCGCGGCGGCCGGTGGCGGAATGCAGTGCTGCGACGCGGTGCGCTGCTGTCAGTGACACCATGCCTTCTCCCTGCCGGATGGCTGTTGGTTTGCACCGCACAGGGAAGAGTGGCGGGCTCGCGATGGAGAATGACGAGGAGGGGTGCGCCCCCCCCCCAACCGCCGATGTCGCAGACTTTGAGGTCGGTGCCCGCGGGGAAAACAGCATGCCCGCTGCCCGTGGGGGAAACTGCATGCCCAAGATCCCCGACGCAGCGGATGAGATCGAGGTCCTTTGCGCAGCGAAGGGCAACTTGGAGGAGCGGCATCTGCAGACCACACATCTCCCGCACACGCCGACGCGCTAGGAGGCCGCGCAGCAGCCTGCAGCCTCACCACCGCCGACACGTGGTGGGTAGCGATCCAAGACGGAAGCAGTGACGAAGAGGGCGGGGACTGGACTTGGTGAAGCGGGACTCCTGCCGGTGGTGGCTGCTGCAGCTGCAGCGGCTGCTGCGGTGGCGCACCGGGCGCGGCGGAGGCCGCCAGGAGCGGCGTCTGCCACTGCAGCCAGGGTTGGGCGGTGGTGGCGATGGATGGCAGCTGTAGCGACGGCTGCAGTGGCCCGACAAGCACGGCGAAGGCCGCCTGGTGCG